TTGTTTCTTGTTTCCTTGCACAGTGTGGGAATATTACAGTTACGTTGAGTTCAGAGAATGCACTGCGCTATCATCGACGATCACAGCTGGATTTGTTTAAACATTTCAATTTTTGTGAATGACTTTTCAGTGCCTGAAATTTCTACTGCACAATTTTCTTAAATTTGTTGGCAAGTTATGGCTCAAAAACAAAGTTGGCATTTCTATATCATAGCATACACGCTATGTGTGATTGCGTGTGCTAAAGAACACGGAAACAGAGTACAGAGGACAATTTTTTGTATGAGGACACATCTGTTGATTCAGAAGAGGTTTCAAGTGACTCTTCATTTAGCTCTGTAGATGAGTGTCTGAATTTTGATGAAGAAGATTGAAGGGTGTTCTTTCGTAGGTATTTGCCGATAGTATTACTTTGTATTTGTATTTCTTTATATTTAAAATACTGTAAATTTATTCTAATGATCAGTAATAAAATTTTATCCTTCATATAAGTGTATAAACAAGGGGGTATGTCTTATATGCCAGCAAATACGGTAATCTACAATGCAAAACAATGAGAACAAGGCCTGGCAAAACTTTTATTATGCTATTCTAGTTTGAAAAATAAAAGCCATGAAATTATGGTTGTAATTTAAAACTAACCTAGATGTTAATGCTCACTTTAGCTAAGCAAATAAGCATCATATATTCCGGCGTATAATACACACACTTAATGCAAAAAAAATAAGATTGAAATTTGCGGGTGTATGTTATATATGCTGGATATAAAAATGATAGATTTAAAAATAAGGAAAAGATAAGCATACCATTTTAAAAATAAAGAAAAGATAAGCATAATTAGATTTATACATGTACCTAAATGCTCTTTATTTAAAAGAAGTGACATACCACATGAACGTAAAATTTTTCTTTATCAAGTAACACAAAATATTAGTTATATTCGTCTTCCTTTATATCTTCAGGCACATCACAGAACTCTGTTTCATCTTCACCATCACTGTTACTCTGATCCATAAATAAATAATGATCTTCTGTTCCCTCTAGATCGTTAGATATACTATCTTTTTTAATTGACTTTTGGATTAAATTGGGTTTAATTTCATTCCATGCTTTTATTATCCATTCGCAACTATTTCTAGACTGGTATGATGCACTTGGCCTCCTTCTATAAATGTTTTCCCACATTCTAACATCTACATATTCTATTGCTGTTTTAAAGATTCTTTGAATAATTTATTGATACACAGATCTAAAGGCTGACCTAATGATGTTAATCCGTCTGGAGTAACTACCATGCCTGTATTACACTCTTCAAAACAATTTCTTTTCGTATTAACCGTTAGATGTTCTAAACTAAGACTTTTTAGATTCTTTAAGGCAACAAAAAGCTTTTGCCAAACATTTCTTATCCATAACTTCATACCATTTTTGTCCATCCATCCTTTCTCATGAACATGAATGAAAACATTTAGGTAATTACATTTCAGCAGTGTCCTTTTTTTTTTTTTTTTTTTTAAATAATGAGGGTTTTAATTGTTGTGTCATCTGTTAAGCAGAAAAGCACTACACTGAGGTGAGATTTTTCACAACCTGCTGTTTTTATGGGGAGCGTTTTTGTTCTTTTCAAATCAATTGTTTTATTTCCTGTCATATCAAACATTACTAGAGACTCATCCATATTTCCAATATGCAACAGTAAATAATTTTTTTTCTTTGTAGGCCAATAACATATTTCTAGAAATTTATCAATTTACTGTCTGAATCTCATGGAAGTCTTTGCAAAACTTTTGTTTTTTCTTGTATAACTAAATTATTCCATGCCATAAATCGACTACGCTAACTCAAAGTTGGTCTAAAGTGTTCACTTTCATTTGCAATATTTTTTTGCCCAATTTAAGGCAAGCAAACGTACGCTTTTCTTGTTAATCAATTATGACAATTTCTTAGGACCCAGTTCGCAACAGTTTCTACCAGCCAAGACCATTTCATTATTCCTTTACACAAAGCACATTTATTCTTTAGCATATTAATTATTATGATTTGATTATTCTTCCACTTATATATGGAACTTTGACCCACACCAAACATGTTTGCTACATGTTTCCATTTTCTTTCACAAATTGAACGACTTTGCATTTGAAACCAACACTGTTCCTTTCATTAGGAGCCATATTTACTACTAAAAGGAAGACTAGATAAACTGTATTTTAACTAAAGCAAATGTCATTTTTAAAGCCTTCAATGTTTACTTCAAAACCACGGCTTCTTTGGGGCATTCCTATCCGAAATTATGCCCTTTTTTCTCGAAACTATAAGAACAAGTTCTCTGTGAACTTCTCCATTCAAAACACATCCTCTGCAGAGTTATTAGCCTAAAAGGGCATCAGCGCAAAATGGGATATTAGTGTCGAAACAGGATTTGGTGGCATATCACTTTAAATGTCTGAATCACTTTTCAAATTGTTGCCATGAAATATTATCATCCTGCATTACTTTTAAAAGAAATTAAATAATGAAGAATTTGCATTAATGTATGTATGTTTCTCGCCCTGTATGAAAACGACGGCACCCAGGGCCATCAAATTTTGAATACCGTAGTCCTCCATCCAAACATGTGTTCCTGTAAGCCTGAACTTTTAAATTTCGAATTTTATATTTAATATTTTCTAAATATTAAAAGAACTTTTAACAAACCCAACGATTTGAAAGCCAGCAGTGGCAACACTGTACGGATTACAACGTTGTTATATCCAACACACGAAATCCTCTATCAGAAATTCTAAAGATATGCTGTTTTTAATTATTTTGCGATTTTGCTATTCAACTGAATTTTAAATAAGTCCGAAGAACATTATTTTTAATTAATAAGTTTGACCCACAAAATGTTAATAATAAAAAGACAAAAAAAAAGTTTTGCAAGTCATCTTACTAAAAAAATGGTACACTTATATGACAAACTCGGAAAAGACTGAAAAAAGAATAGAAAAATGTATGACAACACTGGAATTCTGAACACATGCTGCATTTGAAGTTTTAGTAACTTTGCTGTTGAACTGTATGTGGCATAAGAACAAAGAAAATGATGCTTAATAATAAAGGTAAAATGACAAAAAGAAATGGGTTAGCAGGCGTGAGTGCAGCAGCAGAATGTTAGACTGCACGCTCAGCGAGAGAAATCTTCAAACGAATGACTTCAAAAGAGAAGAGAACTGCACATGTATCTTTCAGATTTCTTCATAAGAAAAGGGTGCGCGTTATATAGCAAATATACATAAAACATTTTTAAAAGTTTGAAATTGTAGGTACATGTTATACACCAGAATATATGGTAACACAAATCTTTTGTAAATCCAAACAATATAAGGTGCCCAAGAAAAAGTGCAAAACATTAATATTGTATTTAAAAGAAATGAGGTAATACAATGTACTCTTGTTTAATCCTTTGGGTACATTTAATGAGTGAGACTTATCACCTGCTTACTTGGGCGAAGTTACAGTGGACGAGTCTGACTCGCTATCTGAATTTAAGAAGCAGGCGTTGATGTTTGCGGAACTCCTGCCAGTGGGCATTGATCACAAACAATTGCTTGACATTTGTTTATGACATCTTACAGCTGCAAAAAAGGTTAATTCCATTTTATTTTTATTATTACCCCTGCTTTTTGATATGTTACCCTCAGATGTCTGAAATAAAAAAAAAAAAAATTCATTACATGACTGAGAAAATGATAGTTCCAATGAAGTAGAATTAGAGCTGAATGATAACAGTGATTATAGTGAAAATGATGAAAGCAACAATGAATTGGAAAGTGACAGTGATGATAGTAAAGTAATATCAGTACGTCGTAAATGCACGCGGCTTTTATCGAGTAATAGTGAATCTTCTATCAAACACAATTGCAAGAACAATGTATTCAAAATAAAATGTATTACTTTCACATATTAATCCATATTGCGACAAATTAAATCCGTCCCATGGGCTTTAATCTTCAAATAATTCAGTACTCAAAGGGTTAACTGGCTAATGCAAACTGTCAATTCTCATACATATTGTATGGGTTTATTTCTTAAAAAATAAGCATACAGAACAAATTATATGAATCAATCCCTGAAACTAAATCTAAAGCGCCAATTCAACAGCTTTTAGAGCTTGGTCGGATTTGTGTGGTTTTTTTACACTCTCGCACATAGTGTGCGTACACGGGTACTGCAACACAAAGATAATCGGCACAGCAGATAATCAGCACCTGGATAATTGAGAACACACATTATGTACCTTAAAAGTGAATGATATTAACTCTAGATAAGTGAATAAACAACTATGGCCAGGCTTGAAAGTCGTGAGTTTTTTATTATAATAGTATGAACATTCGGCTGTGTATGAAAAGCCATTGAATACTACAGAGGAACTCGCTGCATGCATTCAGCCAAGTTCAATATAATGGTCAGCTGTTTAAGCACTTACTATGTGCACATGCAGAATACAGTACTGTTTTTCCATATTGTACAGAAATATTTTGCAATAACTTAATAGGCACTGTATCATTCACCGAATAGTAAATTTATTGTAATTAGTTGCATAATATGCATGTACCTTTCACTAACCTTAGACTCAAAAGTGTTCTGTTTGCTCTGTTTTTGCCTTTCCCACAGCTAATCAGACATATATGTTTTCCAAAATGCTTTTGCGTGTTTTCCGAAAGACAGTAATAATGACATTTGCAGGCAGTTACTGCATTACATTTGTATGTAATGCTATAAGATTTTCTTCATTTGCATTGATTGGATACTTCCTCCTACATAAAGAATGTTCTTTCACTTACATGGCCAGAAGAGGTATGATAAGATTCAGAAGATGCAAAGCTTTTGATCAAAATCATTCCAAAAGCATTCCCTTCCAATAAGTTCTTGATATGTTGTCACACCTTTAGGATACCCTGTATGAGAAGCTAACATATAGATATTTAACAAACACAGAAAAATATATTTATGGTACTTACTTGTATTATTTTTCCATACAAATTTCCGATTACGAGCACCTGTGCTATGTAAATCTCCTTCGTTTAGGAACTTATTCTGAAGAAACTTTACAGCTCTGTCATCATCAGCAAGAACCTGTTTCCTACAAGGGAAAGAAAGAAAGAAAGAAAAAAAAAATCATCCAGCTTTAAGCAAATAAAAAGATAAATAAGTCAGCCTTAAGAACCAGTCAACTCCTGATTAACCAGAATTGATAAAACAAGTTTCATATAAATCAGGCCCTATCCTTGAGAAAAAGTCAAGTTTGTTTACTGCGGGACAAAGGAAAATTTACAATTACACGAAAACAAAAAAGTTATAAATATTTTTACAAAAATTTCAACACAATGACACTGTTCAAATTCTGTAGTACATACTCTTCTTGCATGACATTTATAAATTATTTTTATCCCTTTATTTCCAATATTCCATATTCTTTCGTTATTTAGAATGTGTTCTTTTTACTTTAGATACTAGTTTAATTTATGTTATCAAATTAGCTTATTATGCAAACTGTTTAAAAATTTAGGCAAATCCTAAACACTATTTTTTTTTTAAATTTAAATATGGATTATTCTTCTTGCTTTTTTAACACAATTAAATTAAAACTTATTATGAAGATCAAACAGTTGAGAATTTTGGCAAACTGTAAACACCATTCCTCTATTAATTGTAATATGGGTTATTCCAGTTACTTGCTTTCTTTTTAACTGCAATTTTGAACTAACTGTTAATGTCTTCCTCAATATTACTCAAGTTAGTCAGGCATTGACAGTAACAGTGCTCTTAATTTCATTTGCTTACATGTGCATTGGTGCTATCTGTTTTCGGAGCATTTCTGAATTTTCTATAGCTTCACTGTCAACACATTCCTTCTCTGCATCAGAGTCCATCTCCATATCCTCTTCATCATCATCCTCATCATCATCTCCTGATAAGACAGCTTCATCATCAATATAATCTTGGATGCTACAGAAAAAATAATACCAAGGTGAAAATAACAATCTAAGTAATTACCAAACCACAATTAAAAATAAATCGGCAGTAACCTCATTAATGTTGTACATGGAATGATAAAATTAACAAAAATGGAAAACTTAAGCTTTGACTAATACTAAATTGTAGATGAAGGTTGCAAATACATATATTCATGGGGGGGGGAACAAGGAAGTAAAAACAAGCACTGAATGCAAAGATGAAAACAGTATTAGATTTTTGTAAATTATATGGATTATTATTTGGATCATTGCAAATTATTGTTTAAAGCTAAAGAGAAAGAAAACTTTCTTAGTATCTGGTTACCCTGAACCTTCACAAAATTTAAGGACGTGCCCATGTTCTCCATGAGGTAATCAACCATCCCAGATGCTAGCAAAGGTTATTCCTTTATTAGAGCAGTTTCTAACTGTTTAAAGGACGTAAACATGCAAAGACAGTACATCCAAAGGTATCCCATAGATTTTCAGCGAGATTAAGGTTGTGGTAATATGGAAGCCACTCCATACAACAAACGCCTTCGCACTCGAGGTACACATTAATGATGATGGAATAGGCATTATCACCCAGAAAGAGAAAATCAGGACCAACTGCTGCAGTTAGTGACTCACAGTGGGGTGTACAACTTCATCTCTATGTTGCACAGGCATCATGCAACTGTCTTTAAGCACAGTTAAGTGTGATATTCCACTGAAACTCTAACCCACAACATGATGCCCCTACCTCTGAATGCATGGTGTTTGATAATGTCGTGGGCCTGATTCCATCTGTTTGTTCATCTCCATGCTCTCAAAGACTTATTTACTCTTTCTATGGCAAATCTGACAACAGGATGTTGTACAAGTCAGATGATCCAAATGAGATGTTGACGTGACCACTTTAATCGTACCCCTCTACAATGGGTGGTTAGATGAACAGAAACATTTGGCACTCAGATGCTCAGTTCCTCCATGTAAAAGCATTCAGTGCACTGTACTATCAGATATCGTCTTACAAAGTGAAGCTGCAACCAATGATGTAACATGTATGGAGATCACCTGTCAATTTCGCTTGGCAACTACAGCAATATACTGATCTTCAGGAGTAGCAACTTTTGATCAATTGGGCACAGGTTTCTGGATAACTATTTGATTTATTAGGAATAGTTTCCACATTCAAGACATTAATGGATCATCAACACTAAAGCAAAGTATGACATCTCTGATTGACTGCCCTGCTTCAACCCATCAGATAGCATGTCAGTGCACACCACCTGCCATTTGTCCTCTTTTAGCCAAAGAAATATAAATATAATAAAAAAATTACCCTATGAAAGTTATAAACATTTTGTCAGCATTTAAACAAACCTCCTTAACCCTTCAGAATGTTAGCATCTCCAATGATTGCATATGTTTGGACAACTAATTGCAAATGGCTGTAACGGAACATATAACATTTATTACATGTTGCCACCTGCATCTTCAATGATTTTTAGTCAGTGAAATTCAATTACGCTTTCAAAAATTGCTATTTTGCTTTGCATGCTTGTGTCAAGCCAATGTGATAAAAGGGCTCTTGCCATAAATATGAGTTAAAACTATATGAAAAGATAAAAACTTTCCCTGGATGGAAATATTTTCTAGTACTGAAATAAACTATAGCTTCTTGTCTATCGTATTTCTTAAAAGAAGACAGTTTAAGAGAATTAAGATCTTACTACTGAATGCAGTTAAATGGGAAAACAAGAGAAGCATTAAACAATCAGAATTAACAGAATGTTGGCAAAGTATGGATGTTTTTGATATTAATGACTTGACAACTGATAAGACATTATATTATTCTTTATTCACTGCCAAATGCTATTTCATGGAAAATTTAAAAACAGCTGTAACAGGAAAACTGCATTCATTCTGAAATGGTGGAAAGTATATTTTGGCATACAGGCTGGAAAGGTCACAATGCACCAAATAACTGCTGAATGGATCATGATTCTATTATGATTGAATAAAATTAACAAAAGCTATAAAATGAAGCTTTGAAGGGAAAAAAAAAAAAAGAAGATAGTCAAACTTGATATCAAGATGATTAGTATAATAAGGAGATAACATCCCAATACATAAAATCCATGTCAGCAAAATGCTAAATAAATGTATGTCTTACTAAAATATTCTAAAACTTAGTTGATGCTAAATGATAAAAATAAATTATCACTAAATAACAAATTAAAATAGGAAACTTTGTGAATTAGCTGGTCAAGTATTACTAAAATGCTTAAGAGATGATTCAATGTTTGAATTGCCAACGAAAACGTGATGTACAGACAAAAGTGCATTTCACAGAATCCAAAAAGGTTCATTTAAAGCTTTTAATTCTTAATGCTACAGATTTATTATTATAATATATATATATATCAACAGATCAAATTAGAATTAGATAAATCACCCAAGAATAAACTCTCATTATATCTTCCACCACATAGATAAATTAAGGTTTTATGGAATTGCAACAATTTGGTTTATTTGATTATGGCAAAGCATATGAGGTGTGTGATTATGGCAAAGCCTCGAGGGCTATCTGCCTAAAGGTAGGGATGCCTCCGTGGAGGACTTTCTAAGGGAAACTGGCTCGTATACACGTTACACATGGGGAAAACCACGAAAACACCCACGCAGCCAGCCCGTTCACGGGATTCGAACCTCTTACCGAACTACCAGTGTTCAGCAACTTTACTGCTCGGTCGCTGGTGGGCCAAAGCATATGAGGACCATCTGCCTTAGAGGAGAGATGCCTTCATGGAAAACTTTTTAAAGGAAACTGGCTCATATCAACATTACACATAGAGAAAAAACATGAAAGTGCATACACAGACAGTCTGTTTGCATGGAATCGAACCCAGGTCAAACTATCAGTGTTCAGCCAATTTACTACTTAGCTGCTTCTTTGCAAAAGTTAGCACTGCCAGCTGTTTGACAACTATCTGTAGCAATCATTGACAATTTAAAATGGGGCCTATAAACTTATGTACATATCAATTTTACATTCTAAAAATGATTCATTATGTATATAGAAAAGAGATATAATAGATAACAGAAATATATCTAAGGAGCCTTCACATTTCTTTAGCATTAATACATATCTCTACAGAGACGCCTTTCAAGGCATTAGGTACTTTCAATGACTGTTCCAAAGTGACTCAGAAATGAACAATTCTGAGAATAGTCAACAGAATTTCCTGCCAGTTTCTAGCTGACATTGAATACTTTAGATTTTATTCTTAATTTATTATTGGACCTTTGTTATCTAAAAAACATAGGACTTTTTGCACTATGAAATCTTAAATACCACTAAAATGATATGTCCAGTATGCCACTTTTAGAGCTTACTTTTGCTTAATAAATGACCTCTATATCAGGGAATTAAAGAACCATTTAGAACTAAAATGGTAAATAAAATAAATTAATGATGTTACACATGCTTAAAAAATACGCCGGCAGGAAAAAATATAAGAACATTTACGAAGTGCTTTATGTTAATTCTATGAAGTTCAATGAAGTGTAGGTGGATGGTATCTAAAGGTCAACATTACCATGTAATCTAGCAGGTTACAACAGTAGTTTCACCTCTTAGTAATGTGCAAATTTTAGGACACATTCTTTCAGCATGTGTGGAAACGAGTGCAAGGCTGCTTTAGCGGTGCAAATTTTCATGTGCGGAAGGTCATGTTAGGTATGACAAGTCAAATTTTTTAATGCCAACACTTAGCTGCAGTAACCCGACAACAGTGTGTTCCTCTTGTAAAGTAGCGGCATGTGAAACCAGAACTAGTAATGAACCTGCTGTTTCTATAAATGAATTTATGTTTTTATTACTCTCATGAAGAGTACTTTTTCTTGCCTCCTAATATGACACAGTCGAGTCTGTTTTAACAAAAGCAAAATATTGCAGTGTTTCCATAACGGGCAAAAGTCTGAAAATGTTATCTAATCTCACTTGTCAGACCTAATCAGAACAAACTCATGGATCTTATCATAGTGAGGATTAAAAGACTGCATTTGCCATTGCTATGAGCTTTGAGAACAAGTTAGGTAACAGTACTACATTACGTAGTTCCATCCTAATTTTGAAGGACAGCACCCCCAACAGACAGGTCTGAGAGTTTTTTCCTACCCTCTTTCTCATCACCAAACCACTTACAAGGACTTTTGGCTTGCCATATATTCTGAGTACTCTTATACCACACACAGACTATACAAATAGTCATGCATTCTCCATGATTCGGACCCCAGACACTTGGTATGGCAGTCAGTATTGTGTCACTAACGAATACCCCATCTGGGCTTCTTCAAAACATCTGGGTAAAGCAATCGTACAGAGGTGGGGGAACGATACTGTGGGCATGATCGGAACTACTACAGTACAAAATCCAAAATCTGGATGTCCAGTATCAATGATCTAAAATCTGCAGCACTGTATCACCAGCAACCTTATTTTTTTATGCTTGAGCATTTTATATTTTATCATAATAAAACATGCAGAGAGTCCTTACTCTCAGCATAAAAAAGAAAGCAAATTAAAAAACTTACATTGAAATAAATGTTTACAGCAAACAAATAGTCAGCTTTTTTTTTTTTTTTTTGTAAATTTTGACTCCCTTAAGGTCATAAGTGATTAATTATTTAAGAAATTACTATTTTATATTTTTAATTTTATAATATCTACATGTGATTGAACTAGATTTAAACTGAGGATCTACAATCAGAAAAATCCCTAAATCCGGAATCACCGTAGTCCTCACAAGTCCAGATCTCTGTACTCTATTAATGAGCATATCCATGACTGTATATCTAAAATCCCAGTATTCACTTACTGATATATTGCGAAACCCAATCATTTTGAACACTTTATTATTGACTGGGGGAAAGCAGTGCATTGATTTTCGATTGCCGTCGTGGAAACATCTATGCAGTTCAGATTAGTTAATGGCAATTTTGCTA